CCTGCAAAAAAGTGTTTCTGATGCTGCAACTCTTAGCTTGCTAATGTCTTGGTAGGTTGGAATAGATGTAGCAAGGTCGGCCTCTTGGGGTTTGACTACATGGAACTAACTGTGGTAAGATCGTATCCTTCCGGGGGGGACAAGTGTCATTCTCTTCAAAGCTGGTGTTCTCTTTACTTTTTCCTCTGGCACTTTCCCCTGCTCCCATGAAGTGTTTGCTTTCAGACCTACTTTCAGGACTGTCAAATGAGAAGTGACTGTTTTGATCACCTCATTTAATCTCACATATATCATGGCTCATCAGATTAAAAAATCCTACTATTATGGAAATGGATGCTTCTTCAGTAATGGAGAAATCAGTACACCTCTGGCTCAAAGGTTTAAAAGCTGCAGCTGTCTCATTAGACTGAACATAGCATTCATACTGCATAGAATCAATTGCTACAATGCTGAAAAAGGAACAGAGAATTAGGCTGACATCCCTTTGGATAAAAGTATGGAAAAATATTAACCTAGAGGTTAGAAATGAGATAGGCATTCAAATGGTCTCTAATGCCAAAAGTAGTGTAGCAGTGCAGATGTGCAGTAGCTAAGCAATGGATGTAATAAAGTATCTAAAATGGTTTTTATGCCTCATCTTGCAGGCAAGTTTCCTCTTCAGGACAACAGAGGCTGAGCAGGTATACAAATGAGAAGGCATGCACACAATGCCATCCCAGTCCCACCCTGGTTCAGCCAGCATTTTTCATCCTAATTCTGTTAGAAATACATCAGCTGAAATCCTGCCCTGTGCCCCTCATTCTGCATGAAGGTACAGGTTAAGGACCCACGTGGGGTGAATTTTTGCCTGAAGCATCTTCCAAACTCTGTTCTCCACAACACTGTTCTATCTAACAAGGAACCCAAGGCTGACTAAGAAACGCAAATGATCTGGATTTAAGGGACCTTAAAGATCATCTCGTTTCAATCTCCCTGCCACAGGCAGGGATGCTATTCACTAGATCACGTTGCTCAGGGCCCCATCCAATCTGGCCTTGCATTGCCAGGGATGGGACATCCAATACTTCTCTGAGATTTCTAGCTTCCTGGAAAGCAGCAGAATTAAAAAAAAAAAATAAATTCTACTCTAAGTCTCAGCCGCCTGAAGTCAGCCTAAATTCCTTTTTAACAACTGAGCTACTTCAGAATCCCTCCTCTCCCCACACTATTTGATGTGTTTAGATTCTTAATACCAGCCAGGAACAGGAAATGTTAATAATTATCCCAATTTTCAATCACTATAACTGATTTTTCAAAGTAGCACGTTCACGAATTTCCTCCCTTTATGTGACTAGAAGCTGAAGAGTGAAACTCCACGTAGGCAAACACCAAAGCAGCTCTGAAGCCCTGCACAGCAGCTTAGGAAAACAAAAACCTGAGCTGCATCACTTGTTCTGATGCCACACCTTGTGCTCATCCAGAGTCAGAGCACACAGCTGAGGTCACTGCTCTCTTGTGCAGTTCGTTAGGGTGAATATTTGCAATAATCACCTGAAACTGGCACGGAGCTCCCAGGAAACTGTGAGGGAAAAAGCTTTAACAAATGGGAACAATCAATATACAGAAAGAAAGGCTAGTTCTGACAAGGATTTACAGGAGCACTCACAAAGAAACCCTGGAGGCACACACAGCCTGAAAGCCAGTGCAGGTGCACAGCAGCCTCTGCCCTGCTCTGTAGGATGTGGGGATGCCTTCAGGCACATGACTCCAGAGCTAGTTCCTCATGGAGTACAGTGTGTTTCTGTGGTGCAGAAGCAGAAAATACACCTCCAGAAAAGCTTCAGACTATTCCCTTCCTCTCCCTCCATAAATCCCTCTTTACTGAAGGATGCAGGTGACAGACATTCATGGCACACAGTGACAACAAAGGGACTGTGTGGTTCCACACAGCTGGATCAAGTGGCTGTACTTGAACACCTTCCAGCTGCTTCAGAAAAGGGCACAGTGCAGCAGCCCAAGTGCTGGTACCCTTTAGATAGTTTCCCTCTGACCTCTGAGGATTGACATTTTATTTCACAGGGGTCTGCCAAGTGTTAAGGCATACTGCCATGTTATCCCACACAAACACAGAAAGGATTAAGGAACAGTCAGTGACAATTAGCAATATTTTTCTTTTCCACTCTTTCACATTCTTCATATTCTACACCTTTCTTCAGTTTTCTATAGGGTTATCTCCATCTTTTGGGGTTTTTTTGCATAATGTTCCACCAATATTTTTTTTTATTTCTGATTTGGCCTTACAATTTACTTTTCTTTATCATTTTCTCCTCACTTTCATAATTGTCTGTAATACAAATTTAAAATGTTAAAAGCATACAAAAGGGTTTTTAGAAAACAGGACAATAAGTATCAAAGTTTCCTTAACATATCAGATGAGTAGCCCAGCCTCCCTTGTCTATCACCATGTAAATCACGACATGTAAATGTGGCAGTCTGGTCAAATGCCATGTTCAAATCTCCCAATTTAGATTCTTTATGGTGGATCATTTCAATGTAGAATTGAAAGACATAAAATGCAAGACCTGTGTGTGTTTTCTATAAATCTTAGAGTGTCTTCTACCTCTGCAATATCTGAACACAAACCTGATTCTTACTCAGGGCAGTAATCCCACGGGATTAAGTCATACTGTAAATACCAGACAAATTACAATCGGATTAGATGGGCAGTCTGTTCATTTACTCAACACAGCTGTACTCCAGAGTCTTTTCACCACTGGTGTCTATTTATAACATGAATGTATTTTTCTTAAATAAATGAACACAATTTAAATTTCATATCTCTCTTGTTCTTACCATTTGCGGCCTCTAAGGAACACATTTCTACTTCCTAAGGAGAAAGGACAGTGCTCCTTGAGAGGAAAACAAGGCTGCACTTGGTACAGATCTGCAGGGCAAGATTTAGTTTAAATTTATCACTGAAAACTGCTTTGAAAGTTTTGCATTCCATTTCAGTCAAGTAGAATATAGCAAACATATTCAGGAGACAGGTATGAGACAGCAGCACAGATGTGCTGAAATTTCCCAGAATTTGCAATATTCACAGCAGGAATTTCTCCAGGTTCCAAACTTGCTGGTGAGAGTACAAACCTCAATGAGTAGAGCTAGTGTAACATGGGATTTACAGGAGATTTCTGCTCATTTATGAATAAGAAGCCTATTTCATAATGTTTGGTATTACCTGCCAAAATCTCCCTAGCATTTAGCTGAAATTATTTATAAATGTCACATCACATCCCTCATAATTGTTCCCAATTACAAGAATCATCTTGCCTTTTAGATACAAACTTGCTTCCATCCAGCACACAAATCCGGTGTTACTGTAGTTTTACTACTGCAATCAATTAATGAAACCCTACTGAATCATGGAGCTGAGACTTTCATAAAACAGGATTAATGACTACAGGCCATGAAAATACTAAAGGCAAATTAAGCAAACTGCTGCACCAACTAGTACCCTCAGTATCTTGCTAACTTTATTCTCACCTTCACCTTCTGACTGAGCTGTTATTCCTGACGTGCACAGAGATAAATAAGAATAACACCGAGGCTGGAGAAGTGGAGCCAGTGAGTCAGGAGGGATGAGTTGTAGGCCAGCCTAGCCCATTGCCACCAGGCTTCTCCATTCTTACAGACAGGCACATCCTCACTCAGCTGCAGAGGTGCCAGGCAGACAGCTCTGCCCATGGAAACCCAGAGGGGTGTCCTGCTGAGCACCCTGAGCATGCCCCAAAGTGCTGTGACCACACTGCGATGGGTGACAACAGAGGGGCACAAACACAACCAGAAACACAGTGTGGAATTCACTTCCCTTCCACAGTGATACAGTAGCCTGGAAACCAGAACACTTTCTTTTATCAGGTATAAACCAGTGCAGTTTATCATACACAGAGCTGTCAATAGCTATAATATAGTACCTACACAAACATGAGATCAGCTGCTCTCCAAAGACAGCTTTTTCATTAGACAGGAGTCAACAATTCAAAGTCATAAACAGATTTTACTGGAGTGGAGGAGAAAGCATCCCAAGTCTGCTTTGCACTGAGTCAGGAGGTGTTAGAAAGACCTTCCACTGCAGGACACCCACTGAACAGGAACATTTTTGCAACAGAAATGCTGGTGCCTGGTTCTGCTTTCACACATGTGATGCCCGTTGATTTCAAAAGAAGTTTCCATATTTCACTAGCTCAGAAGTACACGCTGTACATGGTAGAATCCTGAATGCATATGGAACATTGATTTTATGACACAGCATATGACAAGTGAACATTGGCTTAAGGTTTTCCTGCACAGCCTCCTTCCATGCATTTCTTCCTGTGTGGGTTTATAGGTTATGTGCATTATAGATCATGCTGGTTTTCAGATCAATTCACAGCACAGCCTTCCGAACAGTCACACCGTCCCAGCTGAAAGAGATATTCCATGGCAGAGCATGGAAGGAGAGGAATGGTTTACACAGAATCACAGAATCATTCAGATTGGAAAAGCCCTCCAAGATCATCAGCCTTAACCTTTGCTCCAGGCTTAACCAAGTTTAAGCTGGAACCTTTGGTTGTCATCATATTTTCTAGGATTTCTGGCCAAGTTAAGGGCGATCAGTGGATCTCTGCAAATAACCCTCAACAGCTACTGTTTGGTTATTTTGCTACAAGCTGCTTAGCATCCATCAAGAAAGGATCCCAACTCACCTGGAACCTTTACAGCTGTAGAAAAATTAATGAGAACCAACTCTTGCAAGACCAAGCCATGAATTCTACTTCTAAGTGCAGTGTGCATACTCAAAAACCTTAGAAATATAATAATATTAAGACTAAAGCAGTAATCATTTTTCTTTTTATTACAGGAAATTTCTATAAGGCATTCAGAATTCTGAGTTATTTAATTTTTGCAAGCATTTGATTTAATAAAGTACAGTAGCAGGTATTATTATACAAAGATGAGGAAAAATTACATCAAGGACTTACTTTCTGCAGGTTCCTTAGATCTTCTGCCACTGGAGGATTTCCTCAGGAGACTTCGTCCTGAGGTGAAGAGGCTGGTTAGCTCCTCCAGAGGACTGGTGGGTGTGCGAGAGCGGGAACTGCTCTGAGAGGATGACCCGTAGGTGCTGACCGACACACTGACCATCTTCCCTCCTTCTTGCAATGTGTTTCTGGCTGTAGAATGAGGCACTGATGGAGAGCTTCTTGAGAGACTTCCTGAATGTACAGAGTCATAAGGTGGAGGTCTTTTGAGGCTTAAGGGGGTAAGAGACCTACCCATACTGACAGGAGAAGGTGAGGCAGAGTGACTTTTAGGATAACCGTGTGGAGACTGCGTTCTGTATAAGGTAGAAGGATGAGGAGGTGAGGAGGTGTGCCCAGGGGTGCTAGTTCCATGAGATACTGTCTGGTCTTTCTCCAGTTTTTGATGGCCTGGTGTATGAGGTGGCAGTGAAGAAGGAGAAGCTCCAGCTTGCTGTTTGATGTAAGACACATTTTCTAGGACGGGAAGCTTTGTGACCTCTAGAGGAGTTAGAGGAGACTCGTCAGAATTTGGGGAGCACTGCACTGGTGCTGGTGGGAACACCAGCAGTGGAGGTCTGTGAGAAAGCAGGTTTGGAAATGGCGGGGGTATGTCACAAAGCAAGCCCTTGGGAGTAGATGGCACTGGAGACTTGGTGAAATCTAGGTCAGGCACTGTGGGAGTAGCACACTGAGAAGAACAAGTGTGATGGTCATATTCACATTGACATTTTGAGTCTTGGCCTACGTCATCAAATATAGGGTATTTCATCTCCTCATAGACCGCTTCGCTTTGGTCATCCTCATCTTTTTTGAAGTCTCTGAGAATATTCCCAACCATTTCAATATAAACAGGCTCTTCTTCCTCTGTGTCTGGAGCAGGACTGCTGACCTGCGAGAGTGAGGCATCTCTAGTGAGGCTTGTCTTCATAGGACCATGCTTTTTGATATATGTTTCATCAAAAGATGTGCTTAGCTGAGTGTTTGGGTTTCGTTTCGGCTTAGGAGGTGGAATCTTCTTTGTGTACTCATCACTGTGAGGTCTTGGTTTGGCTGACACTGAAAACAGAACAGAACACAAACTCATCAGAAGCCTGTAACACACCTGGTCAACCATAGGGTCTCTGTTACAGTAATTCTGGAATGGATTTCCTGGGACCAGCTTGTTGCGGTTATCTCTGGTATTACATCAACAGAACACTACAAAAATAACACTCAATTCAAAACACTCCTAGATTTCCCCCAGAATGCTCTGACACTCCAGGATTAAGTAACTAGTGAGCACTTCCCTTCCTCCGAGACATCTGTTCTTTCCCAAACTCTTTGGGACAGGAGACTTTCCATTTTTAAATATTGTGCTTTTCAAATATCACTGTGGGATTTTAAAGACCCAAAGAGTTGCCAACGACATAACACTAAATATCAAAATGAACTCCCTTTGGCTCCAAGAGATCAGTTAAGGTCCTGAACAGTCATATTGGAATGACAGTGAGGTAACTCTGCAGTGACAAAGTGATGAATCAAGACCTTTTTATTTATAGTAACTTCTTACATAAAGCACAACAATTGTCTCAGCACTAACAGAGAAGGAAAATACTCATACACAAATTGTAAAATCTGTTGTTGAGATAATTCTAGTGATTTATCAGGACTCTATTATATTGTTAGAATCTCATGAATCTCTTAATGAGATTTCTGTGAAGTCAAGGAATAACAAAGTATCTCACAGATTTGGATTCTTTCTACACTGGTTACTTATAGAAACCTTGTCTTTGAAATTATAAATCAAAACATTGTGATGAAATTGATTTGAAATGAGAGGTCAAGGGTTTCTTGGAAATGATCCTTTATGAATTAAACAATAAGAAAACTCATGCAAACTGCATTTTGTTCAGTTTGCATAAAGAGCTAATAAAACATCTCATTAAATGTTAGGGTTAATAAAATGCCTCATTAAATGTTTAAGTGAAGTCAGCTTTTATCCTAAGCAGACTCAACAAACTTGTTCAGAAACAAAATTTATCACATACACTAAACCTAGCTTATGTTTCTAGGAGGTAACTGATATCTCACTGGTAAGTTCCCCAGTTCAAAAAAACAAACAAACACAGAGAACTAGCGGCCTCGTTAGAATGGTAGCTTTCCTGCCTTTCCAAATTTTGTTGTTCCTTGTAATTCACTATTGCATATCTGCTAGTTTGAACTCAATGCTTAGGGAAACCTTCTGCTGACCCATCAGCAAACAGCCAGCAAATCTCAGATGCCAAACCAGATAGGCAGCACTCACAGAGTTGAAACCTCTCTTTTAGAAACAGCCATGAACATATTCCTGAAGCCAGCAGTGAGGCAGTGCTCTGCCAGCTCAGAGACAGCATTTTGAGTCTGGGAGGATGCTGGTTCAGAGCTGGATTAAAGCACCTGCATTAAAGCGCCTCACTAATGTGGTTTGGTCACTATCAGAGGAGGACTCAAACGGTGTTATCACTTTGTCACACTCATGCTTTGATCTGCTAAATAACTTCTGTTCAATTCCCACAAGGTGTAGCAGTAAAGGCAGATGATAAACGAGTTTTGCTCAGGAATAAGGAGCTGTGAATGTGTACATGTACAAAGAAATGTGACTACTCTTTGTTAGTAGCATTTGTTTTAGCTTAACACATAACTAAGGTACAACAAAGCAAAAAGGAAAAGAAATCTTGCCAGAATTAAAAGGAATAAAAAATACTCAAAAATTATATTATACTTTCATGATGGTTCCAATTAATGTGTTCCACTTTGCAGCAGGCTAGGGACATGCAAAAGCAGCCACAGATAAGGGTGTTTGGTAGCTTGATAGTTTTTCACTATGTGGATATATCCTAATGCATTTTAAATTTGTCTTTTTAATTAACCTAAATTAATTTTCTTGAATGTATTAGGCTAGACTTTTGGGAATAAGATGTAGGCTACCAGAATCATTTGGGCTTTGCAGAAAATATTACTTGTGATGCATTTGACAATACTGGCAGATTTTTCTTGCCTGTTTCCAGCTAAATCACTATTTCATTTCTGTTTAGTGTCTTATTTGTATATTATGTTTTTATATATTCTACTAGCATAAACTTGATCTCAGTCCTCTCTCCAACCTCTGTTAATCGTATTTACAAGCCTGTCAAAAGCAATCTTATTCAGATTGCTGTCATTAAAATGAAGAGACAGTCAATGAAACTGGCACAAACTGCCTGATCATTTGTGAACATTTGTACACGACCTGAACTCTACTTCAGCTACATTTGAAAATCCTGTATTTTGTAAACAGAGGTTTCTTCTTCTTCAGTTCCTGTGCATCACACTGCCATCACTAATGGATACCTGAGAAAGGAACATTTCCTGCTCCTCTCTTCCTCAGATCCCTGTTCCCAGTGCTGCCTTTTACATCTTTGGTACCACAGGTGTCACGCTGAGATTGCCTCTGTCTTACAGCCACAACCCCTCTCTTTGATGTCTTTATTGGGATGGATGTTAATGATCACAAAATAATCAAAAGCTGAGTTACTCTTGTGCTGTGGTCGTTCAAGGCTAATGTTAAGTAATATTTTTTTCTAAAACCAGCCAAAAGTGGTCAAAAGTACTGTGTTTTTAAATCATAGAAAAAGCCTATTCTCCTCTTCCTCATTCCATTTTCACAATTTTTATCCAGCTGAAGAGGTTCTACTACACTGTCTAAACCTGTCCTTGGGTGCTGGACTTCCCATATACAATATCCACAGGTTATTACATTACAAATGAGGAAAGGAGAAATGTCAAGGAAAAACGATTGACATTCTGCCATCCAGCCTTGTATTTTTGCATGGGTTGAAATTAAGTACCATAATGACACACAGAGCCTCGTCTCCCATTGCATGATATGTAGCACCAGCCTAGAATATATAGGTGACATTATCAACAAAAAGGTCAAATGACCCAGTTCTGCTGCATGAGACAGGGTAAAACATTTTAGGTGATTTACTTTCCATTTGCTATATAAAGCATTTTTCCTCTGCTGTTGTTTATTTTACTAAACCATCTATTTCCATGAGGTTTTGTGTTACCAAGGTCTTTTTCCCTTCATGACGAATTGGACTTTTCCAATTAAAATTTTAAACTAAACTGTTTAAATATTTTATAAATCTTAAAAGTGACCTCCTATATGCTCTTCAGGGCAATACACAGGTAAATGGATAGATTTAATAACAAAGAAAGCTTTTTATTGTTACTAGGAAGAGAGGAATGGTTCACATCCACTAGGAACTCCCTCAGGTGCAGGAGGACGCCTGAATTATCTTTGAGGCAAACTGAATTATCTTTAAGAAGACTGTGGTGCAAGACACTTAAATTTATTTAACAACGGTTTCTACTCTGAAACACAGCTCTCTTGCAAGGGCTGAACTCCACAGCACACCTGCTAATAGAGTATGAATCATGAACTACTGCTCCAGCCCAGAACAACAGAGAAAAATAACAGGAATCCTGCAGCCAAACAGAACTGTGCAAAGTCAATGAAAGGAGCAGGGAGTGTTTGTGCAGTTCCGGTGTTACCAACATTTGGCAGGGATAGATGTGCATGAATGCAAAAGCCCTGGCAAGATCCCAAACCCAATGAAAGGAAATTATTTGGCAATCTCCAGAGAGGAACAGGCAAGATTGCTTAAAGTACTTGACATTTATCAGGCAGAAAAAGCATTGGTGCCTGCTGGGATCATAAACTTCTATGAAAAGTGAACCATGCTGGCATATTGGAGATACACATACTGCCATGTTGTCTGCTCTAAACGTGGAGTAATTAAGTGCTTTCCAACATGAATTACTATGTCCTTGATTAAACTGTTGCCAGTAACTTGTGTTGAGACTCTGCCACTCGTATGCATCAGACACGAGTCCTGATCCAAAGCTAAGTGGCAGAAGCTAAGTGAGCGTTGTTTCTTTCCCCACCAGGTGCAGCTTTCCTCAAACACCCATTTCAGAGTGCACCACAAATCTCTTTGACTGCTTCTATTACAGACACATAGGCACAAGAGAGCACCAGGCCCGTGGGGAGGTGGAGCACATGGGAGGTGCTCAGGGGATGATGCTCAGCACTGCCCATGGCCCTCTGTCCTCACAGGAGCTGCCCTGGGGGCTCTGGATGCTGTGCCAGCACCTCCTTGTTTGCATCAGAGCCACCCAAACCACCACAGCTGCTAACCTGGAGGCACAATGATCCTTGCAAACAAGAATGAACTCCCCAGAGCTCCTGCTGCTTGAGCAGCACCTCTCTGTGTTTCTGTGGGACACTCCTTCCAAGAAGCTATCTGGCTCTAACTAACTTTAAGGGAAACAAGAGCTGCAGCTCTGGTAACTCCAGGTTTCATCTCAAAGCCAGAAGCACAGTGCTTAAAATAACCTCATGGAAGCCCTACTGTATAAGGAGAATATGACATTTTTGAAATGAGATATTTGTAGTGCAAAGGTTATGCATAGCTTTCAGACATACCCAGATAATCTCCCTTTCATAGTTAATTTTGGAAATAGAGAATGCTTCTTGTATTATCCTTCTGAAGTATATATTTATTCTTTAAGGAGAGACTGAAATATGAAAATATATTGTTAGATTGTTGTTTATTATTTGCTCGCTGTATAAGGAATGAGTAAAAAGTCTAAAAAAATTGCTCCTTTTCAATTTCTACAAGGGGCTATAGATTCAATGAAGGAATGATTTGGGGACTAAAAGTGCTTCTATTGGGTTAGATTTCATTATCTCTGTAGATGAAGTTTGAATAGTCTTAGTGAAACTGATTTTTAAAAGACACAGTGGTCTGAACTGTGCAAAAGATTGGCACTCAGGAGACCTAAGTTTAAATAATCTATTTTTACAGGCCACGGGGCCTCACCTATCATTTTGCCTCCTAATGTCACCTTTCAATATTTCTCTTCTACCATGTTAAGCTCTTAGGCATTTTACACAAGATTTTATTGTAATTTATTTGTTTATACCAAAACTTGCACAGCAATTCCTGTCATTGGAAAGCAACAATAGACAATAAAAAAAATTAAATGTAGTT